TGGTGAACTGAATTGACTACAGAAAAAAATATGAGAAATAGATACTTTAAAACGGGAGACCTGAAGCATTCAGAATTTTAATATCTTGATAATAACATATACTAATAATGAGATTGCTCGTAGAGGACGATTCATTTATCCCATTTGTGGGTGCTTTAATGGTCTGTACAGACATTTTCTACGTTACATTTATAGTTTTACTTTTTAATATTTATTATGAATCACATTAATAAAACAGCTGAGAGACGTCGCACATAGGGAATTCGGTATACATTTACGTAGCAGCTGTAAAGATTTTTCATAAATAAAAATAAGAAAAACCCGAAAGGGAAAAATTTAAAAAGTTTTGCAATAAGTCTATAATAATAGTCGATATACAAACGAGAAGAAAATTTTCACCGCTGCCACACAACATAACGACACTGAATGTGAACCTGGTAATTTTATTATATACCTATTAATTATTTAGTCGAAACTTTATGAGTACAGGACGTTCACGGTATAAGGTATAAACGCACAAAAAGCAGAGTTTGAGTTGTTTTAAAATAATACCCTTTTATTTTTAATTGTATTAATACTTCTTTTTAAAGAAGAAATTTAGTTCTCAAATGTGTCCTGTATATTGAAAGGAATTTACTTAATAATTAAAAACGCGTTCCATACGAATAAAAAGACAAATAAACAACAAGCATGCATGTAATTCTATTTAATTACGAAAAAATTATATATTGCTGAAAGGTAATTTCGTAAGAATAATTCCAGAATGGTTCAAATAATAATGTGCTTTAGTTCTTCAGTCATAATATTTCTTGTTTTTTTTTTCTGATGTAATGTGATGCAAATTATTAAAACAAATTCTTAAAGTTTAGATAGATATTGTAATGTAAAATAAGAACTAAATTTATTTTTAAATTCATATTAAACCAAAAACATGTAAAAACAGAATTGGGTGTATTTTACATTTACTGTAGCACAATTTCTTGTTTTTCTCTATTTTTTTGACAAATGAATTGAATGGTTTAAACTTTTTATCGTAATGGAGAATTGATGGACCATACAATGTTGTTAGAAAATAAGAAGTAAAAAATATATTTGCGCGCTCAAAACGTACTTACGCGAAATAACACAACTCACACTCTGGTAAAAAATAAATAAAAGGTCGTCTTCTAAAACATCTACTTACTTACTTAATGCCGATGGAAAGATAGCTATCGTCACACACATAATATTCATAACACAGGATCCTACTCGAATAAGTGGTAGGTAGTATCATCGTGACAAGTACAACATTCATAATTGTTATTTTCCTTTTTCTTTTTTTTTTTTGGCTTCACTTACGATGATGATTATTATTATTTATTATTATAATTATTATTATAAATAATGAGCTTAGTTTATGAAGATGGAGGAAGAAGAAGAGGAGGATGCATCAGTCGCTGAGAGTTGGTCCTTATTGCATGTCGGACGGTGTGGTCCACACAGTGAATTTCACCGTCAACATACTGAAACAAAACAAATAAAAATGCATTTTCAAAAGTCAATTTTAATGGAATGAAAAGATTATGAAAATTAATCTTATTAAACTTCAATAAAAGTTAATAATATTTACTCTGAATGCAAATAAAAGATAAAAAGAACCATCATTGCAGTCCTCAAAACTATCTGGCACATGGTAGTAGCACACAGAAAGCAGTAAAGGACCCCTATTTATTAGATACTTCAAAATGGATTCTTTTTTTAGTATTCTTTAGAGCTTTCCAATAATTTCGTATGTACGTTTAAGGGGGATTGGACTAGAATGTTTATATTGCTGCAAAATTTATTAGACAAAAGGAAATATAAATTAACAATTTTTCTCGGTTTAATTTGAATTGAAACCAAATATAGTTACATAATATTTTTACCTGAATGTCCAACAGTCAAAACCTCAATGGGCAAGGAGCCTCGGCGCCGGGCCAGCAGCACGTCGGCGTTGTTGTCGGGCTGGCGGAGCAGCATTACACGTGCACAGGACGATTCGGCTCCACTTCCAGCGGATGTTCCGCCGTCTGGTCCATTTCCGCCCAAGCACACAGTCTCGGGCCCGCCCGAGCTGCGTCGGTGCAGCTGATGCTTCTTCGATCTACGACTGGCGCAAGCTTTACCGTTTAAGCTCACGTGACGTGTTAGCATGCAACTGACTCCTGCACCGCTAGAGGCACCACCGCCCCCACCAAATCCGGAAATCAACGACGACGGGTGAGGGAGATCCGTAGGGGCGGATCCGCGTCTTTGGGGTTGATAACGAGGAAATGGTTCCACCGTCGACGTAGATGGACTTGCTATAGTTTCGTTTTTTTCTTTTTGAATTGCTAAATAATAGAAAACAATAAACTAATATAAACAGAATGCGCTTTTACATTTTGTTTGAAAATAATTTCCTATAACTCATGCCATAATCAAATAAAAAATGTAATTAGGCGTTGAACGAATAAATTAATAAATGATTTTATTTAATATTATCTATTGTTTAGTTTGTTTTCGATAAAAGTTGTTACTTACAAAGTCTAACTGCTTCAGTTGGCACCGAACCCCTTCTTAACGTATGTGTATCAGGTAAACGCAAAACCCTGCCAGCAGGGTCGCTTTCGTTTAATGGCACAAAAGGTACAGGTGCCGAACCCCTTCTTAACATATTCTACAAAATAAAAAGAAAATCACAACGATGTTAAATAGTTCTAATTCTCATTTTTAATACATACCGAAGAAGTCAGTCTGGGGTCTAAATTTTCCTTCCCCTGTTTCTGTTCCGTATCAGAAAGCTTTGGCAATTTCGATGCCTTTTCCTTTTCAAATACGTTCTCTTGTTCTCGTTTATAACTGGACGTTGAAGAAGACGTTTTCGAAACCAACGACATAGGAGACGATGAGATGGGAGACAGGGTTAGTTCAGGTACTTGGGAATCGGGACTCTTACCATTATTCGGACTTAGTACGGCTATGGAGGGGATCACGTTGTGTTGCGTAACACAAACAGCAGTGGTGGACGTGGATGATATGTGCTCTCGAGAACTACTTACTGATGAGTCAGATGTACCTAGAAAATACAATAATCATTTCAACATTAATTTTAGAAACGATTAATTCAATTAACGTTAATTCAAAAAATGATTGGATCCCTTAGTTCCTACTGTACCTTCTTGAGCGGATTCTGGGCAGGTGGTCATCTCGACAGTGGCAGACATGTAACGCATGCGCACGTACGGTTGAGGAGGTGGGAAAGTCTGCTGCCTTGTGAGGGCTTTGGTCGGAGGCGCGGAGCCGTGCAACACCGACGATAACTTCGCCGCGGCACCGTTGCTGCTTGTCATGGATGCTATGTTTGGTTCTGGCAAGAGATTCTCCGCACTCAACGGACGTTCTACCTGATCCTCTATAGCAACATCAAAAATAGTCAAATTTACTGATTGTAGTATTAACAATGCCAGCCTTAGCCGGAATATAGCGAGCTGCTTTTAAATTATAATTAAAATGATGCTAGAATAAAATACTTTAAAACTAATGGTACAATTTAAACACAATAAAAAATGTAATGACATAGACCTAACACTGAAATAAAGGTTGCCCTTCTATACGTCAAGTCTTTGTCTTATTGAAAATATATCTTTTTCTCATTTACTTCTACTTATTTAATAGAAATGGCCAAACATGTTTTACAAGAGCGCCATGTTTGATTTCAACATCAATGCCATTTAATAAACCCTCATAATATAGGGGTGCCCTCTTAGTATAAAGTTCTAAAAATTTTATAATCAAAAAGGTTAAGACGGTTACCTGATGAGTGTTGTCTGTCACTGCTGGAAGACAGTAGGGAAGTTTGTGAACCGAAAGCCAGCTCGAGCAGTTCGTCTTCTTCGCGTAAATGTCCAGCACTGGAAGTTCGCGAATCGCCGCTAAAAACTGGACTGACGGTGGACCGTCCCGACGAACTATGTCTGTGATGATGATGATGATTGTTGGGTGCTTGGGGTAAACTTTCGCGACGATAAATGGTGCGGGGTAACTGGAGCTCAACATGAACGGGAACCGAATGACGACGTACCCCGAGTTGCGACTCCAGTGTGGGCACAGCCAGTGATTGTCTTCGATAACCTCTGTTAAAAAATATATTGTAAACAATCATTACTATATTTTAAGCATTAAACAAAAAAGCATTGGAAAAAGTAGAACAGACAGAGAGGTGATAGGATGGTAGGACACCTTTTAAGACATCAAGGGGTAGTTAAAGGCATATTACAAGCAGGCATACTTTGGTCGGTAACTATACCACACTTATAGGAAGCAGGGTAAAGCGCGTTGAAGCAGGTGTAAAGGAGGGCAGAGGAGATTAAATTAGTATTTGTAAATAGCTAGGGATGTGGTATGTTTTACTCTTCTAGTTTTTGGAAAATGTGGGGATTGTTTCAGAATAAGAAGGATGGGACTGATGACATTATTGTGATGATATTATTATTTAATCTTAGTCACAATATGTAGAAGTTTGTCAATAAAAACTATGTTCATTTCAAAATTTTCGTTGCATCATTATCTAACCACTCCTTTTTCAATTTTTTATTTTTTTTTAAATTTCTTCAAAAACATTTAACAAACCCTCACACTTCAATTGTCCTTTACAGTTATGAAAATTCAAAAAGGTGTATGTTGTTCGGCATTATATGCCTTTAGCATAAGTATATGATAATCGATGAATAATATATTGTATATTGCATACGTTTGAGATGCTTGTGATGGTTGAATGAAGTCGGTGACGGAAGGAATGTCGAGAGAGAATTTCTGTTTACTACTGCTACGGGTCGCTATAGAAACATCGAGATCGCCAGGTTCGGTGTCTGACAGCTCGGTCTGAGTTTCTTGAGCCATTTCAGCTTCCTTTTGCGTTTTCCAACGGTTCCAGTTCGCGTCCAAAAGTTCCATCATGTGCGATGAGAGTGTACTTTCAAGAAACCGGTGCCATTCCGAAAAAAGAGGCGCGACAACATGCTCAAAGAAACCTGAAACAGAAATTTTTATTCCATTATTATCAAACAAAATACGTTTTACTTTTTTTTTATTAATTTTCTGAAATTCTGGGACTCTATTGAGTAGGTTTCAGATAGTTTTTTTTCGTTACCTGTTTGAATTTTCGCAACTGTAGTCGACTGCCTATCACACATAAGAGTGACAGGAAGGTTCAATTGACGCTCGTACTCTCCCTGCCTGAAAAATTCATCACAGACTTTTAGGCTCCACTTTTTGGAAATTTCCCACGGTCTGGTAGGATTGGAAATGTCAGCACACTTGAGTGCTATTTGCAGTATGAACAGTCTATTTTCGGCCACCGTCAGGTCTAACGTATCCTCATCTAGATGTTTCTAAAATAATACAATAATAAATGATATCTGTTTACTTAATTACAATTCGAAAGTAATATGTTTACTATGTAACATACATATATATGCCAAATTGGTAACGGGCAATACAACTCAATTTTTAGCATCTTTTAGTTTACGATGTTTACTATCAATGTTAATTATTAATAATTACCGTGAGGTAATTGCCATGCATAATAACTTGACGGCAAATATGTATGTAAGTTTCGCAAATTAATACAAAAAATTGAATTGTCTGCAAAAAGACAATTAAACAAAGTAAAAAATTAGAAACAGTAAATATTTATTTCCTTTACACTTATTAGTATGAACGCAAATATTTGAAAATGTTTAACGCTTTTATGTTTATGATGTTTTTTGGTTTCGAAATTATTTGATTTTATAAAATTTAAAAGCTTCACCTTCAGAAATGTTTGTTGCTACTGATAGATAATTTAGCATATTTATTTTTTGTAAATTACAAATTTGTAAATATTTATTTGCGCCGAATAAAGGTGGAATGTTTAATTTAATTATTACTAGGCCAATTTTTCAAATTTAATGAACAAATTTTGTATACTTAATTTAATTAATAACGTTTTGCTCTAAAATTTCTCACACCTTTAATATTGATTCATTAGAACGTGATGCACACAATAAAATNCAATGAAATTAGAGAAACAATACTAATTTTAAGACATTTGTTTAACTGTTGGCTGAAAATTAAAATATTAATTTCGCTAGTCGCACCTTAGATACTTTGCTATTATTACATAACGGTTTAACATAACCTAGTTGTGAAGGCTCAGAAATAAACTGAGTTAACAGGTAAATATATATCGTTTTTCGGTAATTTTGCTCATATAAATTGTAAAAATTATATCTTCTAGATTAATGAGTGTTGCAAGTATTATAAAAAGGTACTGCATTGTAGTAGCTTTACCTACTTTTGTGGCAGCAACGATTATTGCAGACTTAAATCATACCAAACGTTGGAAAGAAAGCAGCAAGTAACGATTAAAAATGCTTTTGAAACCCATTACACTATTTTGGGTGTCCCTGCCATTTGTTGGATATGGTTTTGGTGCCTACATGGATCGACTGGAAAATGAGAGAATGACTCTTTACAGAGATAAAAGTGCTTTGTATGGAGGTCAACAACGTAAAGACAAATCAGGGAAACTGGTTCCATCTTGGCCATAAAGGAATACCTATACCTGTTATAGTTTATGAAAATGTGTATATAGACTTTTGCTTTTAAATATATTTCTTACCAAAACAGTTGAGTATTAAGTATTAAGTATTTTTCATTAGATAGGAGATGCTTGAAAGTGCTACTTTAAGAATTCTTTTTATTTGTTAGATAACTTCTCACAAAAACTACATAAAGGTTAACAAAAAAATAAAAAACTTTATTAAAAACATGAAATCAGTTTATTCACCATTTCACAAACAATGAGTACTTGTGTAACTCAGGTATTAAGCGTAACAGTGAGGTCTTCCCTCTATTCTGTATACCTCCCTAATGTCATTTGCTAAGCAGTCTTATTGAAAATCTTGGAACCCTGTAGACATCGTTACCTGCTGCTGTCAATTTCTACATTTGAATAAAACTGCTTCTTATGGAAAATTGTTTTTATCACCTTAATATTTGTAGTAAAGATGTATAAAATCAACCAGTATAATTTTTATTTCAATTTTTCTTTCCATGAACAAACTAAAATCGAAAACGTTAACTGCAATTGAGTTTTCATTACAGGGAAAAACACTAAGTTATTTCAAACAGTTTTCCAATTGACTTAGAGTTAGTAGAGCATTTATAGCTTAAAAGAACGAGATAATTACTTGAACTGGTACAGTATAATAAACATTAAACAAAGTCCTAATTATAATGGATATTACTGTAAAGCAGTTTACGGTAATTAAAAATTTCTTATAGTGACAAAAAGTTAAAAAAGTTCAACAAAAGTTTATAAATATAATGTATGATAATCAAATTTCTTTAGTAAAAAATTTTTACAAACTGCTCCACCATAGTTTAATGATTTACATAAGAAATTACTTAACGGTACATAAATTTCAATTTCTCGATGATAGGATTTGATTAAAAGTAAATTTTAAAATCTAAATTAAGAAAAAAGTAAACCACAGAACGTAATTATTAAAATAGTTTAAATTAGGATATAAATACGAATTAGTCATTAAATATTCATGTTGAAATTTTATTTTAATAAACGAACGTAATTTTTGATTAATTCTTGTATCAAATCCTACTGTGATAGCGTGCTTGTCTTTTACGCACCACTGATATACCAGTTTCATGAAGTCCGTTACAGATTTCAAATATTTTTCTGTTAGCAATTGGATTTGGAGGATTTAATTTAATCAAAAAAAGTATGACGAACTTATTTTTTTTTTGTTAGCTTATTCAGCAAAATTGTTTAGTACTCTACTTAATAATCATCACCAATACATACATCGAATATCACAAAAAAGAAAACCTAAAACGGTCGATTCAACAAACATGTTTTGACTTCCAGTGCATTATTACTCAATTGTGTCAAGGGTAGTTTATCAATACTTTATTGTTACCGTGGATCGACTGGAATCTGACTAAATAAAGCAATATTGTCCTGCAATATTTTTCATTCTAGAGACGGTATCTACACATGTGCGCGATTAATTTAATACACATCTCTCTGAGTTAAATATTGCTTTACCTGTTACTTAAGTATCTATCTAAATGCTAACAACCTGTTAGGGTTTAAGGGATCTATAGCCTGGCAGGACAGACCATTGAAAGCATTTTATTTTAAATAATGGATTGTTTTAAAGTGTCCTCAGACTTGCTTAGTTTTTGTTCCTCCGGTTGAGCTTTTGATTAGAATTTAATATAGCATTTATTTTGAAATCATAAATTTACAAAATTTACTTCCCCTTAAAACTTGTCAGATGATTTATTAAAAAGGTACCAACCCATGAGCTCATTAGTCACAGGGCGAAGAGCATTTTAAGCCAATCCTCCTCAATACATAACGTACATATATATGGATAAATCTTAAATGGTTACCAAAAAACTACTAAAATTCTGAAAGTTTCAGTGAAATAATATAAATATTGGTGATGATAAACTAGAAAACTGTGTAAGAGCGTATGTTTGAAGCAAGGTAACGTTTCGAATGAGAAGCGATTGGAAAGAGCAGAAGAACAGAGGGCATAACGGAAGTCAACAGGAGGAAAAAGGAGAGATAGAATAGCTTGTGACACAATGACTATTTTGGGAGACATATTAGCGGTAGAAACAAGAATGGAGCAGTATACCGGGATTAGATCATTGTTCGCAAATCGTTAAAGATGTGGGATATTATAGTTTCAGAAAATGTGAAGATTAGCTCCAAATAGGAAGGGCAGAGGTGCGTGCCCAATCAATTTTTTGACTGACGATGGTGAACTGAATTGACTACAGAAAAAAATATGAGAAATAGATACTTTAAAACGGGAGACCTGAAGCATTCAGAATTTTAATATCTTGATAATAACATATACTAATAATGAGATTGCTCGTAGAGGACGATTCATTTATCCCATTTGTGGGTGCTTTAATGGTCTGTACAGACATTTTCTACGTTACATTTATAGTTTTACTTTTTAATATTTATTATGAATCACATTAATAAAACAGCTGAGAGACGTCGCACATAGGGAATTCGGTATACATTTACGTAG